CTAGGCACATGCTTGAGCATTAGCAAGGGAGCATTAAAAGAAAAAAAACTTACCAGTCAGGCACTGTGCTGCTGAGCTACATTCCCAGCTCAAGAAAATATTTCCTGGTTAGGAATTCTTTAAAAAATAAGTAGTACTGGGCTAGGGATTTGGCCCAATGGTTCTGCTGCCTGCCTCACAAGTGCAAGGGCCCGAGTTCAATCGCTGGTACCAAAAAAAAAAAATTGTACTTGGGGGGGAAAAAAAATCAGACCTCTTTGTGCCACTTATAGTTATTTGTATTGCTGGGTTTTTTTGGAGATAAGGTCTCACTGTGTATCCCAGGCTAGCCTCAAATTCACAGCAATCCTCCTGCCTTAGCCCCCCAAGTGCTGGGATTACAGGCGTATTCTGCCATGCCCGGCTTGTTTGGTGCTATTTTCTTTTGAAATACATGTGAAGGGGTGGGGAATAGGTGGCACAGGATTGGCAGTATTCTGGCCCTCCTTTGGAAGCTGGTGGGCCAGCTGGAGGTATTTGACACAGTCATCTAACAAATATAAGACAAATGTAATCGTGGCTAAGAAGAATGGAACACAGCAGACACGTGGGCTGCTTGCATGTTGAGGATGCGTTAACTGAATGAAGGCTGCTGCCTTTTAGTCATGGGGACGTGTGGAGAAGGAGAAGAATGAAAAGAGCAGCTTTGCAGAGGTCCTGAGAGTTTAGAAATAGAAGAAACCAAGTAGCCATTAAAAATAAATGATAGACATTTGATTGATATTTCATGAAATACAAAAAGTGGGACACAAACTCATATGTGCCGCATAAGCCTGTTTTTGTCTTAAACACATTTGAGAGCTAACTAAAGTCCTCTGACACAGGGTGCCGTGGTGAGTGTCTGGACAGTGGTTTGCAGAGGAAGCAGATTGGGTTGATCTTTGGCTGTTTTTTTTTTTTTTTTTTCACATTGAATACATTTCGCTCAGGTGAAGAACACACAAGCAGTGTGCAGAGGACTCGCCCGTGAACAGGGAGCAGAGCAGGGGACATGGGCAGCTGGCAGCCGGGCCAGGGAGGACATCCACTGTGACCTTGGAGTCACCCACCAGGAAAGGGCTCTTTGCTTTTAACTGATACCAAATAAAAAAGCACTCAGCCTGACCCAAGGGTGCAGGAGAGACTCAGCTGCAAGGACAGAGCAGGAGTTTGGTGGTTGTCCCAGTGTCACTTGGGTAACTGGGGAAGCTGATTCTGGGTCCTGTGGTGCCAAGCCAGTGTGTGGCCTCTCCCCAACTGCATGGAGCAGGATAGGATAGCACACTGCTTAGAATGTGTGGGAAGGAGAAGGGGACCCCAAAATGCAGGGCTAATATGATAACCTTACCTGTGGTGACCAACTTTTTTCTCAGAAAGTTTTGTTTTTCTTTAAACTTTGATCCATTGGCTTTTCCTTTTCCTTTACAGTTATTTTGTTTGTTTTGAATGTTTGAGACCTGGTCTCACTGGCTTTAAATTCACAGGGAACCTCCTACCTCAGCCTCCTGAGTGCTGAGATTATAGGCATTGCCATCATGCTGGGCTTCTCTTTTTCCATCCACCCACCCATCCATCCACCCACCCATCCACCCACCCACCCATCCATTTATTTAAAACACTCATCCTAGGGAATTTGCACCTGGACGTGATAGACCCCACCTTTTCTCTTTTTCCCATTCCCCCTCTCCCCTTGGCTACTCTCTCCTCCTTATATACAAGAGCTGTGTTTCCATTTTTTCCTTCTATTTTCATGTTTTTCTTGTCCTGTCCATCTTTTCCCCTTCCCTCTCCCTTGTTCCCCTTCCTATTTGAACATTTTCTTCCCATCCCCCAATATCTATTATACATTTTAGTCCTTATTTCCACTTTCTCTTTTTCCTTTTAAACCTTGACTCTTGGCATCTTTTCTGCACCTTACAATTCTGGAAGCTTTTAACTTTCAGCCTGTTAATTATGTAGAGTCAAGTGCATGTTTTAAGTTTGTCCCAGGAGTGGGTTTGCATTTTTAAACTTGAACCCTAAGACTGTTAGAATACATTAAAAAAGTAAAATCTGAAAGCGTACTTTTGTGTGAGTTCCAAATAACAACTTTTGCTGATCAGAAGTGCTGATGAACTGCTGTTACTTCATTTCTGAATATGGCTTTTTAGATTTATAAGTGCTAGAGAAGCAGGTAAGGGAATGTATGTGCTCTGACTTGTTATGTAAAAGTGTTGAATCAGCTCATAAAAACACCAACAAGAAATACTGATTCTAAAAAATAGAAGTACAAAATCACTAGAGCAATTGGAACTAGGGAAATAGGAGATGAAGAAATTGACCCTAAGATTTGAATTTCATATGGAGCTGTGAGTTTCCTTGCTGCTGAAGATAAATGCAGATTGGTTCAGTCTTTGTTAAAGAAGTAAAAATACCAGGTTTTTTTGTTTTGTTTTGTGTTTTGGTACCGGGGATTGAACTTGGGTCCTTGCGCTTGCAAGGCAGGCCACCAAACCGCTGAGCTAAATCCCTGGCTGTTTTTTTTTTTTTTTAGTAGTCCTTTCTTACATAGTTGTAATTACTAAATAAATTTTCATTAACTTTGTGTAGTGGAGAGGACACTAAGAGATAAAAAGCAGTGTTCTCTGAAATAGTCATTTGCCTGAAATTTGTGTTAGTTTTAAGACAGATAATCAGTAAATGATAGTTTTGTTTTTTATATATGTATCCGTGTAAAAATGTTTAAGGCACAGTAGGGGACTGTACTTTTTCCTTCAGACAGGGCCCAGCTGTAGAGTTGGTGCATGTGGAAAAGAGCTCTTCAGTGCAGTTCCGTTGTTAAGAGCTGTGGCCCCTGTGCTGTCCCCATGGGCTCTTGTGTGTTTCAATGGGAGAGAACCAAGGGGAATGCTGTTGGGCTGTGTACCTGGACAGGGTGCTTCTTCTGGAAAGAGGAACCTCTTACTAGAAAGAGAGGATCTGAGAAGTTCTGGTTCTTCACAGTTCTGATACATAAAATGCACTTTTTCTTAACTTTAAAAGAAAAGCAATTTCTGCACTAATGCTAAGATATTAATTACTGAAGTTGACAGTTTATAAGGAGTGCCAGGTATTAGTTCATTCTCCTTTAAATTAATGACACAGTGCTGAGGGCCAGTGGTGAGCTGTGGGGAGGCTTTCACAGGGCTCGGAATAAGACTGGCAGTGAAGCTAAATGTGCTCTGTGGAAAGGGCTGCCCCACAATCTGAGATTTTGTCCTTTCTATACTTTTGGTGTTTGAATGTATATTTATACTTGAATATATATTTATTTTTATAAACAAATGTATATTTTATAAATATATATTATAAAATATGTATTTTTATAAACAGAAGATTGTTTTTAACTTGATAAAATTTGGGAGGACATTTTTCTGGTTTTTGAATTTCAAATGTTTGGAAAGTACTGTCTCAAAAAAAATTTTTTTTTTTTTGATGCAAGATCCCTCTATGTAGCTCAGGATGGTCTTGAACTCACTGTGCAGGCCAGGCTGGCCTGGAATTCAGTGGCAATCCTGTCTCTGCCTTCCAAGTGCTGAAGTGCTGGGAGTACAGATGTGTGCCACCACGCCCAGCTGAAATTTCCTGACCCGAGACTGGGACCTGTGAACACTCTGTGCCTGACAGATTCCTGAGCTACAACAGACAGCAAGCTGGTGGCAGAGGCTCTTTTAGAACATATGCTCTCTGAGGTCACCTTATGTTAGGTTATGCTGTGGCAATCTGCAATTCCAGACTCCAGCTTTCGGGGCTAGAAGTTTCCCCATATGTTAAGTTCTGTGTCACTTTGGGTGGCTGTGGCAGCGCAGCTCTCCTTGTGTCTTTGTCCTGGAACCCAGTGGGAAGCAGAGGGAAGAGGGGACCTGGCAACTTCTTGTTGGTTTCGCAGCTGCGCTTGTTCTGTTGCAGGTACTGAGCAGAGCAGGAAGTGTGACCCTCCCACAGCCATGGTCAGGGATCACCCACCCCTAGAAGGGCCACAGGGGTTGGGAGGAACAGTAGCATCTGCTGCAGTATCACTCAGTAGGAAACTCAATTTTGTAAAAATGTGTTGCTTTGTAGTTTACAAAGAGAGCTTAGAATTTAAATCTAAATTGTGGTACTAAAGTTTTAAAGCCTGGTTCTTCTCATTTGTGTATCAGATTGCTCTAAATTACTAAGTAGCTAATGAGTGACCCATAAATGTTTTGTTTCACTGGCATTCTTTAACTTGAGGATCTTAAAACCAGGGGAAACTCTGCCCAAGAAGTTTTTCAAACTTCTTGTTTTTGTTTTTGTTTTGAGACAGGGTTTGGTATGTAGTTTTTGGAACTAATGGAAATCCTCCTACCTCGGCCTCCTGAGTGCTGGAATTACAGGCCTGCACCACCACACCCAGCTCTGATTATATTCTTAAACCAATTATAACGCATTTTAATGTCAGAACTACAATATGACTTTGCCCCAGTTTATACATGAACTCACTGCCCTTTACTATATTAAGACAGCAATCAAATGTTTTCACAGTAACTGTCATCATTGTCTCTTTGTACTTTAATGACAAAATGTATATAAAGTTGTAAAGAAAGTAGTTTACTATTTAATGTTTAATGTATACTGCTGTACACTTTATCTTCTGTCGTGTACTGACCTCTATAAAGATTAGGCGCACTTTGATTCTCAATCCTCTGGCTAGCGATAGAAGCCATTGCTTTACTTCCTAATAAACTTCAGAGTCAGGTGAGGACCATGTGTGGGAGTTAATTATGTAAAATATGCAAAAATAAGAATATTTTTATTCAAGATTTAGTGAAAAACAAAATAAAAAAGCTCTGTATTATATTCCTGTTCCAAAGCAGTTATACAGCACAGAAAGTATAGTATTAGTACTTCAGGATTAATTAAAGATGTGTTTTATACTTTTAACTCTGAAAGTCTTAAGTATCAGAAAAATCTGATTTTTAAATTTATTCTTTCCTTTCCAGATCCAGTCTCTCTGTGGAACTTCTAAACATCATTATTGGGGCAAACACTTTTTACACGATGAGGTCAACAATATAACAAGTGTCTCTGTGGTTGTGAGTTATCCACGTGGTTCGCGAAGCCTGAGACCTGAGGAGTACAGGGCCTGTGTGATGACAATATGACGAATAGCAAAGGAAGGTCTACTCCTAGTAAAGCAAGTGGTGGTCCAAGTCACAGGGGAGGTTTTGTAGATTGGACTTTGCATTTAAATACAGTTCAGTCTGATAAGTTTTTAAATTTACTATTGAGGATGGTCCCAGTGATTTACCAGAAAAGCCAGGAAGACAGGCACAAAAAAGCAACCAGCATTTGGCAAGATGGGTTGTCAGGCCCAACACAGATTTTCAGTAACAGATCAGAGCAACACCTGGAATATCACAGTTTCTCCGAGCCCGCTTTCCACTGCAATAGTGGGCACACGCCCTTGAGCTGCAGCCCCAAGTATGATGACTACGCCAACTACAATTACTGTGATGCCAGGGAGACCTCAGAAACCACTGCCATGCTGCAAAATGAAGATCTGTCTAGTGAGGCCGATGAAGATGTTATTGTGGAAACGAGCCCCAAATTACCAAAGGAGTCCAGTGGCATCATGGCACTGCAGATACTTGTGCCATTTCTGCTAGCTGGTTTTGGAACAGTTTCGGCTGGCATGGTTTTAGATATAGTACAGGTGAGTTTTCATATCTAATGTCACTGTCTTTTTCTTCCATTGTGGATTAAATTGCTTTATGTGGCTTCTGAGTCTCAAACGTTTTTAAAGTTCATCTTTGCTAGGGATCAAGCCCAGAGCCTCATGCATGCTAGACAAGTGCTCCACCATTGAGCTGTTTCCCAGCCCTCAAATATTACTTTGGATTTAACTTACTCCTTATAAAGGGAATGGATGTGCATTCTGGCACACATCCTTTATTCCTAGTTAGCTTTTGTTTCTTTCTTCTGGTGTTGGGCGTGTGTACATTCATGATTGTTGCTTTCTCTTGTTTAATTGTTCCTTTTTCATTACATTGTGGCCTTCTTTGTCACTTGTAGCCTTTGACTTGGAGTCTATTTCATATGATGCCTTATCCCATTCTTTTGTTTTTATTCTATACATGTCTTTATTAGTGGCATGTGCTTGTTGTTGGGAGCATGGTATTAGGTCCTTTTTTAAAAAAATTGTTTAGCCCTGATGAATGTAACTGTATTATATACCTAAAATGTACCAATAAACTTAATGAAAAAAATCCATTTAGCCAGACAGAATCTACTAATTGGGGATTTAATACTTTTATATTCAAGGTTATTACTGATAAGTAATGACATGCTTCTGTCATTTTGTGAGCTTTTTTTTTTTTCTGGCTATTGTATGTCCTCTGTTCTTTTCTTCCTCTTTGTTGCTCATCTGTGTGGTTTGATGTCCCCTGTATTGATATGTTTGGTTCTTTTTCTTTTTTATGAATGTGCTCCAGTGAATTTTGTCCTTCCACATGTTATCATGATGGAGCTTACCATATTTTGGCTTCAATTGTCAGAATCCTCCCGGGAGCCTTTCCTCTGACGCCTCTCTGGAGGCTGTTGATGACTTTTCTTGGCTTTTGCTCATCTTGGAAAGACTTTCTCTTTCATTTCCGAAGCTTTGCTGGGTATAGTAGCCTTGGTTGGCAGGTTTATTTTTCCTTTAAGGAAAATTAACTGTTAATAGCTACAGTAATAAACACTCAGTCATTAACCATGTGCAGGCTTGAACACAATTATGTCCCCACTTAGATGAAGAAAGTCAAGTATCGTTTTGCCCAAGATGGTATAGAGTTGGAATTTCAGCTTAGGAAATCTGGCTGCAGAGACAGCCCTTCCTCTCGACTGCTGTGGTCTTTTGCTTCTGTCTATGGTTCTCAGAGTGTGTCAAGGTGCCTTAGGGTTCCTGAAGAATATTTTGAATTTTTGAAGGGAACAGTGACATCTCTTAGACACAGTATAGACTACTAACTCAAGGTGGCTTCACATTTCAACATCAGAGCATACTCTTCATTTTGATGACATATCTTTGCACAATTGGGGTTTAGCTGTGCTGTGATTAAAAAGCAAGTGTCCACAAAAGGGCCAAGGATTTAGCTCAGTGGGGGCAAGCACAAGGTCCCGAGTTTGATCCCCAATAGCAAAAATGTTTTTAAAAATTTAAAAGTGTCCACGAAAAATCTGAAACTGGAGGTGAAGGTGACAGTTTCACTTCGTAGGTTTGAAAAATTACACAGTGCCTAACAGGTACACAACTCCTATTAGAAATGACTGAAATTATATAAAAATGACATGGAAGTTTTAAAAATTGTTTTATTTCCTCAGACTACTGACTTGTTAGGAAATAAGTATTTTATTAAGTTGTTTAGAAGTAACTACTTAATAGTAAATAGAATTGTTAAGTGTTTCTTTTATCCTAAGGATACCATGAAAACATTTCTGAAATACTCAAGAGTACCAGAACAAGGAAATCGGGAGCTTCTGCAAGCACAGGTCTAGAGGTGTAGAGAAAAATGTAGACATTTTTGGCACAGATAGAAAATTAATAATTAATATCTCTTATGATCACATCAATGTTAAGTTGTCAGAGATTTCATAGTAAAGGTCGTGTTTGGTTTTTAAAATTAATTTGATATATGTAATCACATTCATCATAGAAAATTTGTCCCTGTATATAATATATTGTGATTCTTCTTTTTTGCCCGTTCCCCTCTCCTCCCTTCAACCTTTCTTATCCTCCTTAACTACAAAAGCTTTGTTTCCATTTTATTCCTTCTATTCTCTTTTCCCCTTTAACCTTCTTTCCCTTTCCTTTCTCCCCTTCCTCCTTTCCCTTCCCACCTGAATATTTTCTTCCTACTCCCCAGTATCTACTTTTGTTTGTTTTTTGGTTTTGTTTTTGGTAACTGGGATTGAACTTGAGACCTTGTGCTTGTGAAGCAGGCAGAACAACCACTGAGCTAAATCCCCAGCCCCCCAGTATCTATCTTTACATTGAAAACTACTGTGCTCTGTAAAAGATCAAAGAGGTTATCAGAAAGTGGAAAGATATCCCTTGTTCTTGGGTGAGGCAGAACCAATATAGTGAAAATGGCCAAACTGTTATACAGATTTAATGCAAGCCCAATCACTACCAATAGCATACCTCACAGAACTAGAGAAAACATTACTAAAATTCATTTGGAGCCAGAAGAGACCTAGAATTGCAAAAGCAATTCTGGGCAACAAAAGCAAGGCAGGGAGCATCACAACGCCTAACTTGAAATTATACTACAAAGCTACATGATTTAAAAAAAACAACAACAAACCACCAACAGCATGCTACTAGCAAAAAAACTAGACCCCAAGGATCAATGAAACAGAATGGAAGATGCAGAAACAACTCCAAACATACCCAGCCCCCTTATGTTTGACAAAGAGGCCAAACACCTTCACTGGAAGAAAGCCTCTTTAATAAATGGTACTGGAAAAACTGGCTTTCTACATGCTGAAGATTAAAACTAGACCTATATCTCTCACCATGCACTAAACGAAAATTAAAATGGATAAAAGATCTAAATATTAAAAGGGAAACATTAAATCTGCTGGAAGATAGAATGGGAGAACATGAAGACACTGGTGTAGACAAAGATTTTATGAACAAAACCCCAATTGCTCAGGAGATTTCACAAAGAATCAACAATTGGGATCTCATCATATTGAAAAGCTTTGGCACAGCAGGAAAAAACACCAACAGAGTGAAGAAACAACCCACAGAGTGAGAAAAAAGGTCATGTATTTGATTTGAACTAAACTTGATGGTTGACCCAAAGAAGTACTGAACCTTTCTCTCAATAGGTCCAAAGTATGATGGCTGTTGCTCCTGCAGTTACATCACATAGTGTTATGGCTTGTGTTTAGATGCCCTGCCTCCAGCCTCATGCAGACACAGGTGGGGCTTTTTTCTGTAATTGATTTATGGTACATTGCTAGGCTCAAGGGCACCTTGATTACCTGCCCTAAGTAATCTGCATAAAATAAAGGGGCTAAAGACTCTGTTGAAGGCCCCTCTCTTGTTCTCTTGTTGCTTTTGCTGCCTCTCCCTCATGAACTGTTGCCCCTCTGCCATGTGCCACCCTACCTAGGAGCCAGCCGACTGTGGACTGAAACCTCTATAAACTGTGAGCAAAGTAAACCTTTCCCCCTTTAACTTTGTAGTCTCAGCAACAAGAGAAAAGTAAGACACATAGGGAGGTGTCTTAAAATGAGGACCTAGATAGAATGTATTCCTGAGTTGTGTGTCTGGGACTTGAGGGTAGTACCTCACAGGTATGCTGTGAGGACCAAGTGAGTCAGACCAGAGAGCACAGAACAGTGAGTGTGCAGTATTAACAGTTGTTAGTGCTGTTGCCTATTCTCCTCCTCCACCACCATCCTTCTAATGTGGAAAGATACACATTTCATTACACACTGGGATCTTAACCCACCCTAAAAACAGACATAATTGTTTCTTAGTTTTTAAGCCTAGAAACCAAAGGTGCTAGTAGACCCTGGTATTTTCTTGGGTGGGTGTGTGGTGCTGGGGGTGGAGCCCAGAGCTCTGCACATACTGACTGTTCTGTATCACCGAGCTGCACCCCAGCCTGTGCCCAGTGCATCCTCATTCACGTGTTGGTTGACTTGAGTCCTGGGGAATTTCCACTGTGAGTCTTTGAACCAGGGGTTTATGACAGAGCTGAACACATTTCTAACCTCTCTATAGGCCCAGTTCAGCATTCAAAGTGCTGAGATTACAGGCATTGTCATCATCCTGGGCTTCTCTTTTTCCATCCACCCATCCATCCACCCATCCATCCATCCACCCACCCATCCATCCATCCACCCACCCATCCATCCATCCATCCATCCATCAAAGAAACTTGAGAACAAATTGAAATTTTCTTTCATCTATCCAATGGGTTTTAATTTTCTCTCTCTAGGTATTGATGACAAGATGTGTGTTCTTGACGCTCTTTGCCATGATGCTAAGATGCATAGTTCCTAAAGTCCCTTACTGGGACCAACACCTCATTATTCGTTTGAGGTATTAGGGGTTTTATTTTGAGACAGGGTCTCACTAATTTGCCTCCTCAGCCTGTAGTTCTGCCTCAGCTTCACAAGTAGGTGGATCATATCGTAAATATCACTTTAACATTTACATGATCTTTTTAGTCTACAAAGCACTTTCATCCCTGTTATTGTCCGTATCAGTATTTCTCCAAGGGTCACACAGCAGTTTTAATTTTCATTTTATTGAAGAAGAGATTAAGATTAGAAAGATAATGTGACTCATCCAGGATATTGAAGCCAGGTTATGCAGATCCCTTCCTAAAAGCATGCATGTTGTTTCCAGCTTATCAAGGCTTTTATGGCCTCATGCTCTGCAGCTTGCTGACTTTGTTGTCTAAAGTGGGCACCAGGACAAAGAAGTGCTCAGAACTCCTGAAGTCAGCCCCTGGTCCTATTGTCGGCTTAGAAAAATCATGTTACCTTTTTTTTTTATTCTACTTTTCTCAATATTTACTTCTTTATTTGTGAAATTAGATAATGGTGATGATGTAATTTTCTAGCGATGTTTGTTGGTTTTATTAGCACGTGTGTGGTGTTTAATGAATACAAATAGTTGGTACTTGTACAGGACATGCCTTAATTCCCTTCCCATCCCTTCTCCCTCTTTGGTCCCTTTTCCATCTGCAAAAGACCTGTCTCCCTGTTTTCTGTTATCTATGTTTTACTTTGTTCTTTATTTATACTTTGGGCTTCTCATACAAGAGAAGCCATATATCAGTGTATGTGGCTGATTTATTTCATTTAATACTATTTCAAGGTGCACCCATTTTCCTACAAATAACTCAAATTTATTCTTTATGGCAAAGTAATATTCCATTGTGTGTAAATGCCATGTTTTCTTTATCCATTCATCTATCAATGGACATAACAGGCTGCTTCCATGATTTAGCTATTAGGAGTTGTGCTGCTATAAAATGGGTATGCATGGATCACTGTAACATGACGTCTTTTACTTTTTCAGGAAAGTGCCTAGAGGGGAAATATCTGGGTAGGATGGAATTTCTAGTTTGTTCTTTGAGGAATCTCCATACTGATTTCTGAAGTGATTGTACTAGTTTACATTCCCACCAGCAATGTAGAAAGGTTCCTTTTTCCCTGCAGCCCCACCAGCATTTGTTATTGACTTGATGATGGCCATTCTTTCTGGGGTGAGACGGAATCTCAACCTCATTTCAGTTTGCTTTTCTCTAAGGCCAGAAATGCTGAACATTTTTCGTGTGTTTATTGGTCATTTGTACTTTTTTTGTCTGAGAATGTCTATTCATTTTAGTTGCCTATTGTTTCATTGGGCCTTTTTTTAGCAAATGGTGCTGGCAAAACTGACTCTCCACATCCAGAAGACTGAGTCTAGACCCTCTCTTACCATATACTAAGCTAAAATAAAAATGGATCAAAGATCTAATTGTTAAAACAGAAACACTTAATCTGCTGAAAAATAAAATAGGTAAAACTCTTGAAATCCTAAGAGTAGGCAAAGACTTTCTGAACAGAACCCCAGTTGCACAAGAAGTAACATCAAGCATCAGCAAATGGGACCTTACCAAATTAAAAGCTTCTGCACAGCAAAGGAAACAAGCCGCAAAGTGGAGAGACGACTTAGGGAATGGGAAGTATTTTTACCAGCAGCGCTGTGGTCTGCAGGGAACCAGATTTCCAGTCCAGGTGGTCTGGTCCTGAGCCCACTTCGCTGCTCTCCTGTCAGGTAATGACAAAGTCACATTCCAAGTCTCAGGGTCATGTAACACACAGCATGGCTGTGTGACTGTCAGCTGCCACCCAGCTCCACCTGAATCTTCTAAAATGACTCAGGGCTTTAGCACTCAGGAGCTGGGGTCCAGCTGAGTGTTCCATGATTAAAGGACCTGCCCAGTCCTTCAGAATGTAGGCACCAAGTTGGAAAGAGAAACTGAGATTTTTAGAAATGTGTTTCTCCTAATGCCCTCTTTTAGAGTGTCAGAGATTTTTATTTTTTATCTTTTTTACAGCACTGGGAAGTATTCAAAAATGTAACAGAAGTTTTCATCTTAGTTCCTGCACTTCTTGGTCTCAAAGGCAACTTGGAAATGACTCTGGCATCCAGGTTATCCACTGCGGTAAGTTTTTTCTAGTGTTCTCACTTGTCCTGCTGACTTTCCATTAAGAAGAATGTGCAGCAGAGAAATAGCTTTTCTTCTGTCTGAAATGTTTCTGGACCTCAGAGATCTGCTAACTAGTTATGACTGATATTACAGCCTGAAAACTCTCATGGTTGTCTAGCCTGAGAATTACAGACCTTTTTTTTTTATCATGAGAATACTTGCCCCTTTATGCCAGAACATTTTAGTAATTATCAGTGTTTAAAATAAGTCAGATAATTGAGATTCTTTGTGGTTCTGTGGTCGACTGAATGGTATTTAAACTTTTTGTGATTACAAAAGTACTATAAGAGCTGGGGATTTAGCTCAGTGGTTCCACTGCCTTCCTCGCAAGTGGGAGATCCTGAGTTCAATCCCCGGTACCAAAAAAAAAAAAAAAAAAGTACTATATACTTATTATAAAAATAAAAGGAAACAAGATATAGAGAAGAAAATCCAGAACTATCCCTGTTTCCCCTCCTGGACATGATCTCTATTAATATTTTTATATACATTCTTATGTACTTGCATATTTGTACCTATACACGTGCTTAGCTATATCATCATACATACATACTGTGTATTTTTGTTTGTTTGAGACGGGGTCTTATTATATAGTTCAGGCTGGCTTTCAACTCACTGTGTAGCTAAGGCTGGCCTTGAACTTGCAGAGATCCTCCTGCCTCAGCCTCCTGAGTGCTGGGATTCCTGGCCTGTGCCACTACACCCGCCCATACTGTGTATTCTGAAAAAGAACCAGAAGCCTATATATTCTTCTATAATCTATCATCTCCATTTAAAATACATCTCAAAAATCTTTCCATGTGAATAGTATAGATTCATATCATTATTTTTATTGACTGAGAATTTTTATGTTGTACACCTCTACCACAATTTAGTTCAACATTCTGCTGTTATAAACAGTATTGATAAATATTCTTTTTTATGAATATTCTTATAAGTACATTTTTGTGCTTTTATTTCTTTAGGACAAATTCTAGGATTGTAAGTTTGTTTGTTTTTTGAGTCAGGGTCTCACTATGTGGTTCAGGCTGGCTTTAAACTCACTGTGTGACCCAGGCTGGCCTTGAACTCGTGGCAATCCTCCTACCTCAGCCTCCCCAGTGCTGGGATGATAGGCATGCTCCACCATGCCTGGCCAGGATTGAAATTACTACTCAGAAAAAATCTGCACTTTGATGTTTTAGCTACTAATTGCTAAATTGTCATTCAGAAGGTTTTTAAAACATTTGTTTAACCTTTTAAAAAATACTACTACTAGCAGGGTTCTGAGTTATTTTCAGAAGCCCAAGAGGACATCATTTTCTCACTATAACATTCTATTTTGGCTTAGCATTGTGAAACCAGGTTACGGTTAAAGCACATAGCTAGCAAGGGCCGCTGCAGTGAGCCATCTGCTTGTTTAATGTGAGCACCCAATCAGCTGAGCCATCAGACAGTGATTGTGATAGCTCCCACATATAAAGCCCACAGATAAAGATGTACTTTTCCTTGAAAGAAGCTAGTGTCAGTCCACGCATGAAGTAGGAAAGCATTGGAGTATGAAGGTAGCCAAGGAGTGGAAGCTGAATGGAATGTTGGTGGCCACACGGTCCCATCCCCACCCCACCCCCTACCTTGATCCATATGTCCTAAAGAAGACCTGAAAGACGGAGTTCTGACCTTGATTTCCTTGAGTTCTGTTTTCAAACTCCACATCCTGGAGAGGCAGCCCTGGCCTGAGGTCTCTCCCACCATGAGCTTGTCCTCTACAGCCTGCATTCAGGCTCCACCCATGCCCAGTGGCAGCAGCCCTAGTGCTCCCTGCCTAGGCACCCACCCGATGGTGGCACAGTCTTCCTCAGGAGCACTGATGCGACAAAGCGGCCCTGGCATCTGGGGCAGGACTCCGTGGCCTCAGGGCTCTGAGGTGGCTAGAAGAGGCAGAGCAGGTGCAGACTTGCAGCGAGTGCGGCCTGGGCCTGCACATCCCTCACTGCTGGCTGAGGATAGCTGAGGGAGAGCTGAAGCGGGATCCTCTGAGCCTGGGCCAATTGGAGCACTGCTCATTCCAGATGCCAGGAGGGAAATTTGATTGGAAATAAGGAAAATATATGAGTAGAAGAAACTTTAAAGCACCCTGCGAATTACTGTTGCAAGATACTAAAACAAGATGGAGAGAGGTTCTACATTGAAAAGGACTGTGGGAACAGAAGAGCCTTACTATCGCATGTGGTGACAGTCGCCAAGCAGTGGGACTTACTAAGAAGCAGTGGCTGCTGGCAGAGAAAGTGTCCTTCTCCTGGAACCTTCTGAAGGTACCAAAAGGATGTGTAGTTCCTGGAAGTACACAAGTATTTCTTACATGACATATGCTATGAAAATCCTGTCATACTCTTGAGTAGATACTGAAATTAGAGATAAAAGCTGATACGAAGATGGAGGTCATTACTTTTTTGGTATCTTGAAAGCTAGGTACATGTTTCTGTCACTACACTTTGGGATCAAAGGTTTAAGGCCAAATTCTTCCCAAGTGATAATGTAAAATGGTAAATGCATTTAAAAACATTAAAAATGTGATGACAGTGATCTTAGCCTTGCTGAAAACATTTGGAAAGCATCATCATCAAACAGTTCCCAAGCTTCAGCTCATGGATTACTTCAGTGAGATGCATCGTTACTCTTTTTTTTTTTAATCAGCTTTAATTGAGTTTATTGGTACATTTTAGGGATACAGTAGAGTTACATTCATTGTTGGGATCCTGTACCTCTACATGACAGGCCTTGGTTCTCATTTTTCCCCTTGTCCCTGCCCTCCCTTCACCCCCTCCTCCCCTCCCCAGAGATGCATCATTACTCTTAACAGAACCTCATTCCTGGGGAATGAATAGGAAGCGTCTCTACCAGTTATCATATGAGAGGGAAGGAAACTTAATGACTTGGTGACACCACATTCTCAGAAGGATGCAGACCGACAAAGCTAGCCAAACATCACCGTGATTGTCTAGTGACTTCATTTGAAACCGTGTAGAATTATGGATAGGAACCACAGGATGAACCCACAGCTTCAGTGCTGGGAAACTTTGTTAGCTACCAATATCTAATAATGAACTACTTAAAGTTTGGTTTATTGTATTTATTTTCCTATCCTGGTACTTTGTCTTCATAGAAAGATGGTTAGCAGCTGGATGCTGACTTTCCCACGTGGTCATGTGGCACCTGCAGTGTGGGCCTGGTGCCCCTGTAGCTTTGTATCTTTAACAAGATGGAAACAGAAACTTAACATAGTTTATTAAGGCTTTAACATCAGTGAGGTTATGTGCACATTTCTAGCTGCCATCTTTCCCCATTGCACTTTCTTAGAAGTGGAGGGGGATCTGGTGGAGCTCAGTCCCAAGTCTTTTGTGACAGAAGAGAACAGGAAGAGGTTTCCAAAGGCAAAAGTAACACCATTTGAGGAGGAAGAAGGTTGTTAGAGTGGAGTTAAAGGTGGTTCTGGTTTTACTTGTTGGAATGTGAACTTTGTTCTGATAAATATAGTTACACATTCAGGCATTTAAGCAACTTGATAACATTGCCAGGGAAAGTGACACTTTGGCCTGCTTACCTCAAAGAAAATAACTTCTGAAAACATTGTTCTTGAGCATTGTCCAGTTTGCTTAGGTTCCATCTGTAGGTTGAACATGCTGATCCCTTGGAAATAGGCAGCAGTGTAGGGAATCTGTTAAAAAAGAATCTACTTTGAGTAACTGGGCATGGTGACACATGCCTGTGATTCCAGCACCAAAAGGCTGAGGCAGGAGGATAGTGAGGCTAGCCTGGGCTACATGGTAGACTCAAGGCCAGTTTGAGCTACTTAGTGGGATTCTGTCTCAAAAAACACAGAACAAGACAAGAACTGCAAGTGAAAGTTGTTGTTTAATTTCATCACATATCACTATTAATTTTAATAAAGGCACATTTAATCTTAATCACTCATAATGTTGTTGAGGTGTCTATATTTTGTACTAGGTATCTTTCTCCACTGTCTGGCTGTGTGTGTTTCTCTGCTCGTATTTAAGAGAGGGAACTGCAAAGCTGATTAGTAGCCCAGGAGTGGCAGAGAGGTAACCTAGTTGGGTCTTTCTCTGGGAATCCAGGGTGGGGTTCTTCTGCAGGCTAAGAATCAGTTCCTGATAAGATCTTTCAGCCATTAACTGAAGGAAATAAGAAAGTGAGGCTTTGAGACTATTTGCAATAGGAGGGATCCAGGTGATGCTGGGGCCAAGGTGGAGCTGTCACTGACCGCCACAAGGACATGAATGTCACAGTGTGGCCTTCTGACTTGGAGAACCACGTTCCCCGCCCTGCTCCAGAGCCCCCAGTCAGCAGTCTGTTTTAATAAGCTCTCAGGTGATTCTGATGCCAGGTCCAGTTTGACACCTGCTGTTAGATGAACAGCATTAGAGGCCCTGAGGGCAGGGCCAAATTAGGGAGGGGGAAATCCTAGGAGAGTGATAAGGTCCTTATACATCTGTTTTTTTCAGGGGTTTTGTCATGAATGGATGTTGGATATTATCAAAGGCTTTTTCTGTGTCTATTGAAATGATTATGTGACTTTTCTCCCTGTTTCTGTCTATGTGATATATTCCATTTATTTATTCATTTATTTGCTTGTTTATTTGAGACAGTCTTTCACTATATAGTCCAGCCTGGCCTTGAACTCATTATGTAGCCCAGGCTGGGATCCTCCTGCCTCAGCCTCCCATGATGGGATTATAGGCATGTACCACCTTGCCCAGCAATCCCATTTATTGAATCCTCCCTGCATCTTTAGGATGAAGCTTACTTTGTCATGATGTATGATATTTGTGATAGTTTGTTGCCTTCTGTTTGCCAATATTTTCTGGAGGACTTTTGCATCTATGTTCATTAAAGAGATTGGCCTATAGTTTTGTTTTGTTTTGTTTTTTACTTGGTTCCTTGTCTGGTTTTGGAAT